GAACTCTGTTAGCTTTGCAGAAAGTTCTGTTGGACAGTGCTTAGCGATTAGGCCTCCCTATAAAACAAATAGTGAACTATAAGCCATGCAGGAAACGTGTGAATGGAAAAAGCACAGACTGGATTCTTTCTCCGTTCTCAGCACCTCAACAACGGTCAACACAGAAGTCTCTTGTGACCAAATGTGTGTGGATTTCTCCCACCAAGAAGCAAGCCATCAGTTCTGCAGTGGACGCCAGCTGGGTGTCTTCCAATTCAGTTCTGACCCTATCTATCCAGAGATGGCAGCAGATCCCACAGGGCAAGGGCTCAGTTCCACAAGGCTCTCTCCCCCTTTCAGATGCCAATCGTGAATCTAGGCCACTGGAACTTCAGGTTGACTAGCTTCAAATTGGGGTTCCCTCGATCCCCTCTTTGGGTTCAATTAATTTGCTAGAGTGTCTCACATAGAACTCAGGGAAACACTTCTTGGTTTAATGTAACAGATACTACAAAGGTTAGAGACGAAGAGCTGCACAGGCACAGGTGTGGGGAAGGGGTGTGGAGCTTCCAGAGTGGGGCTCCCCCATCTAGGATTCTCCACATGTTCAGCTATCCACAAACCCCATCTTCTTGTGCCTTTTATGAAAATTTCATTGGATACGCTTGACTGAGAGTCATATAGAAATGGGATTGGGTAATAGTCAGGCCTGTCTGTTGACGTTGACCTTGGCCTCTCTGTGCAGTATTCCCTCCTCCAAACTATGGGCAGGACCCCTTTTGAAATAGAGGTCTATAATCAGACAAGGTACATCAGAGAGTTTATCGCCTGCTCCAAGACAGGAAGGTGGGGAAGGTTCCTGCCTTGGAGAGGAAGGAGCAGGTGGAAGGAGGGTAGGAGAAGGTCAGAGAGAAACTCTGTTTTCTAACCTCCTTTTGAGGCCTCAAGTGTCCTGATGTTATAATAAAAGACACAAGAGCTGTGGGATTCGTAAGCCAGGGATAGTGGATAAAACACCATATACACATTTTAAGAAAGGAAAACAACTATATTAAAACTGTAATAATCATACACGGATAACAAAAGACAAATACAAATCACACTGAACACTTCTTGCAATTGAAGAATCAAATGTGACTTGAGTATTACAAATTTAATACAGTTTTTTTTCCTTTCTTAAAATGTGTATACATTTTTGGTACCCTCTGTATATATTATAATATCACAGAATGTGAGCTTTCTTGACTTATCTATTAGGGTTTTTAAATTTTATTTTGATGCTAAATTATTTTTGCATAATACATTTTTAATTTTTTTTAAATTTCAGAGAATCATAGGGGTACAAACATTTTGTTTACATGCATTACTTTTGCACAGTTAGAGTCAGGGTTATGTGTGTCCATCCCCCAGAGAGTGTGTATTAGGTTTTAGATACAACTGGGCTTGTAGCTAAACGTCTATTGTATGTTGGCATTTCTCTGTTTTATTATAATTATTACATTCTAACATTTAGAAGGCTCTACATCTCTGTTTGTAAATCTCCTTTATATATTTTTTCCCCCAGTCTTCCAAATTTAATTTTCCAAAGGAGATTATTTTATTGAGTTGCCAAGAAAGAAAGGCTTTACAAAAAAGGGAGGTAGGGAAGAAAAAGAACTCCAGGAGGGACTTGGTTTTGCAAACTAAATTGCAGGCAGAGAAAAGCACAACGCAGCTTCCAGGTTGCATGGGGAACTGGAGGATGATCTCTGAGCTTCTCCCAGGCCCGACCAACCAGCCCAGGGACCTGCTAGAAGGCCCCCAGGGCTGGCTGACCTCTACTTACATTTTGCTTTTCTTTTGAATAAGGCATTGTTCCGGTATTGTCCAAGAGCCCAGCATCGTTCTGCTCCATGACTCTGATTTGGGGGACTTTGCATGAAAATCAGAGATATGCCAGGGGCCCTTGGAGAGGTGTCTCTCCGGTAAATAAGTCATTAGGCAGCACCGAGTGCAGGGACAGCTCCCCAGGGCGCTGCTTCTTAGAGGCTCCAGTCTCTTGGGCCACCAGCAGCCCTAGCACCTCCAGAGCTCTGAGAGTAGTTAGTTCCTGGTGGGAGCTCTTCCCATTTGCCTCGCTCTGATCCCAAAGACTACAGCGTTTTTCATGTTTTTTGTTTGTTTGTTTTAGAGATGGAGTCTGACTCCACTGCCCAGGCTGGAGTGTAAAGGCACATTCACAGCTCACTGCAGCCTTGAACTCCAGGGTTCAAGCAATTCTCTCTCCCACCTCAGCCTTCTGAGTAGCTGGAACTACAGATGCTTGCCACTATGCCTGGTTCATTTTTTTTTTTTTTTTGCACTTTTTTTAGCGGGGGCTGGGTTTAAACCCATCACCTCTGGCATATGGGGCCAGCACCCTACTCCTTTGAGCCACAGGTGCCACCCATTTTTTTTTTTTTCTTTACAAAGTCTAGTTCTGTTGCCCAGGCTAGAGTGCCATGGCCTCAGCCTAGCTCATAGCAACGTCAAACTCCTGGGCTCAAGTAATCTTTCTGTCTCAGCCTCCCAAGTAGTTGGTACTATAGGTATCTACCCAGCTAATTTTTCTATTTTTCATAAAGACAGGGTCTCACATTGCTCAGGCTAGTCTCAAACTCCTGACCTCAAGTGATCCTTCTGCCTCAGCCTCCCAGAGTGCTAGGATTATAGGTATGAGCCACCATGCCTGGCCCTTTATTTTATTTTTGAGATGGGTCTTGCTGTATTGCCCAGGCTTGTCTTGAACTCCTGGCCAGGAGTAATCCTCTCACCTTCGCCTCCCAAAGTGCTGGGATTACAGATGTGAGCCACTGGTTCCCCACCTCTGCCTGCACTTCTTAGTGTAATTATTACTATGGCATTACCTGTAGGTTCATTTTTAGGGGCTCAGAAGGCCTCACCTTGGTCACAGAGTTAAGTATCCAGGTGGAAACACCTGTGCCCCCTTCTCTTCCCGCCTCTCTGCCAGGCCCTCATAGGAGACCAGTATGGCCCCTGTACACTCCCCACGCTGATCGAGGAGAAGGAGTGGGAGGCACTGAGGGCCCAGCTCACGGCCAGGCCGAGTGACCTGGAGCTGGTGGCACGACGCTTCCGGAGGGACGAGAACGCCGTCCCTCCCACCTATATCCTGCAGGCGCTGAGTGCCAGGGAGCCCCGTGGGCCTGAGGAGTCCACCTTGACATCTGTCCTACAGTCTGGAGCCCAGGATGCCCAGAGGCTGGGCCTCATCACCCAGGAGCAGTGGCATCGCTACCACCGGTCAGGTGAGGTTATGGGAACTCTCAGCAGGGGGCGGGGGTCCATGAAAAATTGACCACACATCCAGAATATCCATCCACTATTGTGGAAAAAGCAACATTCTATAAATGCCAAACCAATGTATCTCTGGACCCCCAGTTCTAAAAAAGATATTTTTACTGATCCAAGAAAGTTGTATGAGGCCCGGCCTGGTGGCTCATGTCTGTAATCCCAGCACTCTGGGAGGCTGAAGCAGGTGGATTGCCTGAGCTCACAAGTTCGAGACCAGCCTGAATTAAAGTCAGATTCCATCTCTTAAAAATCGCCAGGTATTGTGGCAAGCACCTGTGGTCCAAGCTACTTGAGCCCAAGAGTTTGAAGGCTGTGAGTTATGATACCACAGAAAAAAAAAGGTAGAGACAGAGTCTCACTTTGTCACCCTCGGTAGAGTGCTATAGCATCACAGCT